CCCCAAAACCCCAAAACCCCATGAATTGTTAATAAAGTGAAAACAAGAATGATATAAATTTATTATACTTACAATTTAAAGTTCATGAAATATTAATTTCTCTATAAAGCAACAAATGGAATCATCAAAATAAGCAATTGAAGCAAAGCCAAAGAAGAGAATGAACCCAGAGATGAAGGAGGCCAATGAAATTGTCAGAAAGCAACTTGTGTAGAAGGTAAAAAACAGAGATGAGTCAGCATTCATTAACTAATAAAAGGATTGGACTAGTAAAGAGCACTTTTCTATCCCAGAAGATATTCTCAAGGGAATCAATGATGAACTTGGTTTTAAGAGACCTTCTAATATCTAGGCAGCTGCTATTCCACTTATCCTAAAGAAAGATGAGAAGGGAAATTATGAGCATTTAATCATCTAATCAAATTTTGGTTCTGGTAAAACTGGAGCTTATACAATTGGCTCTCTACTCAGAATCGACTCCTCTATTAAAAAGATATAAGTTATTGTACTGGGGTACCAACGAGAGATTATTAACCAGATCTCTGAAATGTTCATAAATGCTACTTTATTCTCAGAAATCACAGTAAAAAACTGTGTTGATGATGTCTTTAGGAAACCTTCAGAACATATTTTAATCACAACATTAGGCAAACTTAATTCATATGTTACTGGTAGAAATAAAGTTGATCTATCCGCATTGAAAATAGTAGTAATCGATTTTGCTCGTTTATTCTTTGATCAAATAAAGTCAGAAGCAGAACTTAATGGAATCTTAGATGCAATTAAGAAACTTGGCCACTAAGTTTAATTCATTGTATTATCAGATACTTATAATGAATAAGTTCAATACAAACTCGCTAATCTCATTGAAGAAGCTAATCAGATCAGTCAAGAGAATTCTCAACTGCAACTAACCAACATTATCAATTACGAATATAAGTGTGAACCCAGAGGGAAAATAGATTTTATTAAGCAAGTCTTTGATACCATCTCAATGACTCAGACTATTATCTTCATAAACACTTTAGACTTTGCAGAAACTGTATTCAATATTTTGAAGCATGACGGCTATAAGGTTGCTATCCTCTTCAGTAAAATGTCTAAGGAAGAGAGAGATGAAATCATGATCAAATTCAGAGAAAGAAGAGTCAACGTCCTCATTACTACCAATATTCAAGTTGAAGGTATATATATCCCAAATATTGGTATGGTAATTAACTTCGATGTGCCTAAGTTAAGGGTTCAAGGAAAATTCAAACCAGACTATGAAAACTTCCTGCAAAGAATTGTTCATGCCGGTAGATTTGGAAAGACTGGTATAGCTTTAACATTGTACGATAACGAGAATGATGAGTTGATATTCCAAAAAATCATTACTCACTATGAAATGGATAAGATGGTACAGAAGCTAGACTCACCTAGAAAGCTTAAGGATCTTCTAGAGGAACTTATCATTGCTTGAGGTGCCATAGAATGATCAATATAAGGAGTATCTAACATTATCAAAGACTTGCTTATATATTATTAATTCAATTTATTTCACTTATTCTCCAGCTTGACTGTGTCTCCAAAATTTTATCATAGGGGTTTTGGGGTTTTGGGG